AGCAGGGGACTCTTGATCCCAGGATTATGAATCTGAGCCCCACTTTGGTATAGAGATGACTTAAAAATAAAATTTAAATAAATAAATAAATGAGTACCTGCTCAGAGACTGTGGGAATTTTTTTTTTAAGATTTTATTTATTTATTCATGAGAGACACAGAGAGAGGCAGAGGGAGAAGCAGGCTCCATGCAGGAAGCCTGATGTCAGACTCGATCCCAGGACTCCAGCATCACACCCTGAGTTGAAGGCAGATTCCCAACCTTTGACCCACCCAGGCGTCCCTGAGACTGTGGGAATTTAAGAGCACAGAAGGTACTTAGGAACAGTAAATACCTGTTAAATGTCACATTATTTTTATTTATATGTTCATGTGTATGGATATTAGACTTTCATTTTGTGAATGTCAGATTGGAAGTAGGGTTCTAAAACTGAGTAGAGGAGCACCTGAGTGGCTCAGATGGTTGAGGGTCTGCCTTCAGCTCATATCATGATCCCAGCGTCCTGGATTGGAGCACCACCACCCCCACCTCCACCCCCCCCACCCCCCACCCCCCCACCCCCACCCCCCCCACCCCCCGTCAGGCTCCCTGCTTAGCAGGGAGTCTGCTTCTCCCTCTCCCTTGCCCGCTCCATCACTGCGCGCTCTCTCTCTCTCAAATAAATAATCTTTTTTTAAAAAATAAGACAAAACTGAGTGGAAGTCTGGCAATATAGCTAGGGAAGTATGTAAGGCCATGAGTTAATAGGAAAAAGGAAGAAGGCGGCTGAAGACAGAATCCTGAGGAATAGTTAATCATGTCCCTTCCAGCCACCACTCCATTTCTCTTCCTTTCTGCAATACATCTGCTGCAGAGATGACTGTTTACACTAGCTGCCCCCCCCCCGCCCCGCCTCACCTCCTATTCCATCCCCAATCTACTCCAATCCATTTGCCACTCTTGCCAGGGTTACCAATAGCCTCATTTCACCCAACTCTCAGCGGCATTTAACACAGCTGACAGCTCCCCCTCGGATGAAACACTTTCTTCACCTTGACTTTCAAGATCCCAGTCTCCTTGCTTCTATTAATTGCACTGCCAGCTGTGTCTCAGTCTCATTTTATTCTGTTCCTCTTCTACATCTCCCCTTGGTGGAGGCCCCCAGGGCTCATCCTGGTGCCTCTGTTCACAATCTGCATTCCCTCCCTAGATAATCTCATTTGGTCTCATGCTTTAAAAATCATCCACTTTTAGCTCTCAAATCTATGTTCACCAAGAAGCTCTTCCCTAAACTCTGGGTTCATATTTATGGCTGTACTCTACAGCCCTCCTTGAACATCTTAGACATTTGGTTCTACCTTTACAAAATACAGTTGACCCTTGAATAGCACAGGGATTAGGGACATGGCCTCCACTCCCTATCCCCCTCCCTCCACAAAGGTGAAAACCTGCATATAACTTTTGACTCCCCAAAAACTTTACTAATAGCCTACTGTTGACCAGAAGACATACTGATAACACAGTCAATTAATACATTATTTTGTATGTTGTATTACTATATACTGTATTCTTACAATTGAGTGTGCTAGAAAAAAGAAAATATTAAGAAAATCATAAAGGAAAATATTTACTGTACTGTACTTGTTGGAAAAAATCCACATGTATGTGTGCCCATGTGGTTCAAACTCATGTCGTTCAAAGGTCAATCATATATTCACAATGTGATCACCTTTTATCCCAGTCACTCCCATTCTGGTATATATAACCCACTATCAATTTTCTTGCCTGGACTACTGCAAAAGCCTGTTAATTCAACTTGCTGCTCCCCTTTTACTTCCTCTGCAGTCTAATCTCCAAACTGCCAGAATGAGTTTTTAAAAATGTAAATCAGATCCTATCACCTCCCCACTGAAAACTTTCCAAATGCTTCCCACCATACATCAGTCTCTCCAGCCCTGTACAACCTTGTCCAGTCTGTCTTTCTGACCTCTTCCACCACTTCCCCCCTTATTCATTCTGCTCAAATCACACTGCTTTACTCTTGCAGTTCATTCAACAGGAGAAATTAAGGACCTTAGACACGCTTTGCCTTGCTCATAATGCTCCTTCCCTCACAGCGTGATCATTTTTCTTTAAAATACTTATCAGAGACACCTGGGTGGCTCAGAGGTTGACCATCTGCCTTTGATTCAGGTCAAGATCCCGGGGTCCTGGGATTGAGTCCCACATCGGGATCCCCACAGGGAGCCTGCTTCTCCCTCTGCTGTGTCTCGCCTCTCTCTGTGTCTCTCATGAATCAGTAAATAAAATCTTTTTTAAAATAAATAAAAATAAATAAATAAATAAAATACTTATCAATACCTGACATTATATCTTTGTTTTTCCTTACCAGATTTTAAACTACATGAGGGCAGGGACTTTTTCTTCTTCACTGCTGTATCCAACATCTAAAACAGTGGCTGGCACAAGGAAGGCATGCACGGTGTTTCTCAAATGAACAACTGAAGAACATCACTTTAAGGTCAGGCAGATCAAAACAAGCTATAATGCTAACTGATTCAATTTGTAAACATAATAAAAATAGGCCCAAGCTAACCAATTCTCCCCACTCAGCAAGTACTAACTATGAGACATCTGTCACACAAGAATAAGTAAGGACAGCATCTATGCTTTCCCGGCCACCAATACCTTTTGGTCCAGATATCATGTAACAATCAGTCCAGATATCATTTCAGAATAGAACAATGACTGGAATCTGAGGAAGGACAAATACAATGACCACACTGAACACAGAAAAATTTCAAAGACTTTAAAATCAACCTACTTATTTTCTATTGATAGAAAGCATTGAGTGATTAACAGCTTCAGTAAAAATATCTACTAAGCATTTTTCCCTCTGCATTCTTATTCTACCAATGTTTTTATTTTTTAAGATTTTTTTTTTGAGAGACAGTGAGCGAGAGAGCACAAGTGGGAGGCAGAGGGAGAAGCAGGCCCCCCCACCCTGAGCAGGGAGCACCATGTGGGGCTCGATCCCAGGACCCAGAGATCACAACTTGATGCCCCCAATCCCTAATTTTAAAGGAAAAAACTGGACAGTATTTTTAGATCAGTGGCTCTCATATTTAGTCGGTACTAGTATTTACAGAGAGTATTAAAAACGCTCTCAAGGTCCCATCTCCAAACATTACAATATTTCAAAGAGGGAGGAAGGGATCTATAAATTTAACAAGCACTCAAGGATATTACAATGCAGGTACACCAACAAATCGCTTTAAAATACAGTCTAGAAAAATCTAAACAAGCTATAACCAATCCTCCTGTCAATAACCTCAAACCAAAATGAAAATGACCTAGATCCTAGCTTTTGAGCGTTCTTTTTTCCTCTCTCTTTATAAATATAATTTAACTAAATTGCATAAATGATGGGAAACAGAAAAGAGGAAGAAAAAGGCAGTATCATCTCACCACTCCAATACAGCTCTGGTTAGCATTTTGGTATACTTTCTCCTATCCATATCTCTAGATATATGTTTGTTCCCTTACTCTTCACAATTTTATCCACAGCACAATTCCCAGTGCTATTATACACATTTCCCATGTTAATATTACCTCGTCCTCATCAGTCTCCTGCTCAGTAGCATTATACTGCATCTAAAGTACCTATCATTGTTTATCTAACCATTCCCTCCAGCTAACTGCTTCCTTAGACTATAAATAACCCAGCTGTAAATATTTTTATACACAACTTTTTCAGTACCTGAACACTGGGGGGGGGGGGGGGACGGGGATGACGGGGGGAGGCAGGGCATCTATAGTGCCAAACTGTTCTGCCACCACCTTTATCAGAGAAGGCTTTTCCAATATTATCTTAGCTTTTCCAATATTATCTTTAAAATACTGGGAGGAAAGGGTTTGCTTTTAATTCTATTTCTTTACTCACTGAGGTTAAACATTCTTTGTTAATCAGCTGTATCTTTTTTTTTTTTAATTTTACTTATTTATTCATGAGACACAGAGAGAGAGGCAGAGACATAGGCAGAGGGAGAAGCAAGCTCCATGCAGGGAGCCGGACCACGTGGGACTCGATCCTGGGTCTCCAGGATCAGGCCCTGGGCCGCTAAACCGCTGAGCCACCCGGGCTGCCCAGCTCTATCTTTTCTTTAAGTGAGTTATCTACCCTGCCTTTTGCCCACTTTTTATGGGACTTTAGTATTCCTTTTCTACTTCTTTTATCTTTGTATTGTTTCCCACTAATCTTCCCGATCGAGCTGTGGACGGACTAGGTATCTGTTCACGACCTGTTCTTTTGGCTCAGGACCACCCAAGGCTCTGGTAGTTTAGGAACACACTGTTGTCAGGGACCCTCTAGATGGAATGAAGCACTCACGGTCTTCCTTCCGAGGCTGCTGTTACCTTGGCCAGTCGCTTGACTTTTCTGGACCCCAATCCCAAGTGGGGAAGTATAAAAAACAATACCTACACTTCCCCAACCGGACTTCTGTGAATGCAAGCTAATAATGCCAAACGATTAGCTCCCTTCCATGAACTAAAATGAACCAGAGGCCCGTGTAGCATTCTCCGATGAGCCAAAAGCAAACTCTTCAACTCTGGCGGCTGGGTTTGTTTTTAAGCAGATGTGACCTTGTCTGCAGAAACGCCACACCTACCTGTTTTGGTCCTGCCTCCCTGGGTCCTGACAACCGATGCAGAGGCTAACGAAAAAGGAGTCGGAATTTATAACGCAAAAAATGGGTCCTACGAGAGTTCTCCGCTCCCCGACCCCCACCCCCCGCCGGTCCCCAAGAAAAAGACAAGTAAAACTTGGCAAATGGGCCCTCGGGACAAGCTGGTCCACACCGCAGCCCACCGGTCCTCCGATCCCGAAGGTCGGCGACAGTCCGGGGCCGGACCCGACCAGGAGGGCGCTCGCCCAGCGGACGCGGACCCGGGACAGCGCCCGGCCGCCGCGAGGAAACTGAGGCCCGGACCCGCGGAGAGGGCAGCGGGGAGCCGCTCACCTCAGCAGCGCCAGGAAGGCGGCGGGCTCCACGTCGGGCAGCTCGATCTCGGCGGACGTGGTGGCCATGCCGCCGTTGAACATGGCGTCGAAGACGGCGCTGCCGGCCGCCAGCACGAAGCGGTGCGCGGGGATGCGCTGCGGGCCCCCGGCCGCCGCCGCGCCGCGGCCCTTGCCCAGCACGAAGCGCACGTCGCTCAGCAGCTCCGAGTTGAAGAGGAAGGCGAAGCGCTCCTTCAGCGACGCCTTGGTCGCCTGCCAGTTGTACAGCGGCTCCCGCTGCAGGGGGAGCAGGGGCCCCAGAGAGGGCGGCGGCGGCGGCGGCGGCGGTGGCGGCGGAGGCCCCGCGGCGCCCGGTTCCGCCTCGGCCCCCGGGACCTGCTCGCCCGCAGCGGCCGGCCCGAGCGAGGCCATCCTCCAGCGGCGCGGCAACTCGGGCTAGGCAGAGAGCTCCCGCCGCCCAGCAGCCATCACCGAGGCCGCCCCCGGAGGCCGGCGCCGCCTGGGTGCCTTCCGGGAAAGGCGCTTCCGGCGGCCGCGCCCCGCCCCGCCCGCCCGCCCCTCCCGGCCCCGCCCACGGCTGCCCGGCGCGCGCCTCCCTGGCCCCGCCCCACCCCGCCTGGCCCCGCCCACCCCGCCCGGCCCCGCCCACGGCTGCCCGGCGCGCGCGACCGCCGGAGCCGAGCCCCCGAAGCTCGATGCCCTGAGCGGTGGGCGGGGGTTCTTGGCGCCCTGTGCACGCCCCTGCCCACCCCGACCCACAGCCTGCGCTCACCAGCTGCAGTGCCTCCCACGTGTCCCAGGGGCAGGTCCCTAGGCTGTCCCTCCAGGACTTTACCGCCTGGAAACGGGGGGGGGGGGGGGCGCCGAGGACTTGGCTACAGGAGCACGGGGGAGGGGCGACAGGATTTCCCCCCCTTCCCTTATAATGTCCCCTCCTCCGCAGGGTAGCGGAGCTTGGACTCCTCTCTGCTCAGCAGCCCCCATTCTTCCTCTCTGTTGCCTCTGTATCACTGTGGGCTCATGGAATCTTTTTTAAAATGTCATATAATCTATTGCTAAAAATTAACAGTATCTTAAATCTAAAAACAAAACAACAACAACAAAAAAAAACCCACAACCACTCAAGTGTACCAGAGCAAAAATAGAGGCTATATTATCTGGTACTGAGTAATAATCATAATTTAATCGCAGGAAATCTGAGGACACGGCGTTTCAAAACTTGCGGAATGCAACGAAAGCTGAGTTCAAGGCTAAAGTATAGCCCAAGCCACTCTTTTTGCGCAACTGGAAATAATAAAAACTAAATGAAGTAGAGGATTCTGGGAAGGTGGCAGAGGAGGAAGCACCCGGGAATCTATCTCCCCTCCTAGATAGCAGCTGCTGGCGGAATCTGTGTGGTGGGGCTATTTTGGAGGCCTGGAGCCTGTTGAAAGCAGTAACTTCTAGGGGAAGATTTGGACAGTTACGTCACTGCTAATTTCTGTCATTTTCAGATCTTTGCACAGAAGCAGCTACCCATCCCTCATCCCCAGCCACATGGAAGGCAGGCAGCTGCACCCATGTTCATGGAGCACCAAGCACACCGTCTGGAGGAGCCACAGTGGGCAAAAGGAACCTGTTCTCAGAATATCCGGGCTCTGGGCGTGTATTCCTGCTAGCAATCACAATCCAAAGAGGCAGGCAGCAGGTCGTTGCATTTCTTCCTTTGTTGCAAGCACTTCCTTCCTCCAGCTGAAATGACTTCCACTGTATTTAAAGGACCAGCACCCAATTCACCCTCCATTTTCTTAGGTTTTCCCCTTTTGGGAGTCAGACATTAAAAACAACTGCAGACGCTTGGGTGGCTCAGCAGTTGAGCATCTGTTTTTGGCTCAGGGTGTGATTGTGGTCCCCTGGTCCCGGGATCAAGTCCCACATTGGGCTCCCTGCCGGGAGCCTGCCTCTCCCTCTGTTTATGTCTCTGCCTCTCCTCTGTGTCTCTTGTGAATAAATAAATAAAATCTTTTTTTAAAAAAAAAAAGCTGCATATTGGGGCAAATTAGAAAATGATCATCCATACCCAAGGAAAGACTGAGTGAAGACCTTAAATTTATACCTCAGGCTGATCCTTGGCATAGAGAAAATCCTACAGCAATAAAAAAACAAAACAATAACAAAAAAGCAGCAAACCCCAGGGAAGCAGGAGAATCTGATTTCCAGAATAACCATATTACTAGATTTAAATGTCCCATGTTCAACAAAAAGTTGCAAGGCATACAAAGAAACATGAAAGTATGGTCCATTCAAAGGGAAAAAATAAACAGAAACAGTCCTTGAAGAAGATCTAGTGGAAGATGATAGGGGAACACAGGGCAAGCTGAGGACAAGGCTTTATTTAGCTGGGGGCAGCACATTGACAATTCCTTGACAATTCAGGCAAGGGACATCCCTCAACGGACTCAACTGCCTCGATGTTCATACTCTGCTAAGGGCAGAAGGCAATCTTAGCCCAACCCCCAGGAGCCTGTAAGTCTACTTTAACATATAAAAATTCCTTTAGAAATTTCCTTTATCTCTACCCACCAGGATACGTGTTGGTGATCATCCTCCAAGCACATGGCGCACCCCGATACATATCTGAAGGGTCTCATGACTCAGGTCTTATTAGCCGGTAATAAGTGACTTTCCCCAACAATAGCTAACCTCCTCAAGGTCCTGGAAAACTTGCTTCCAAAATTCCTTAGTAGGCTATCCCCAAAACCCTCCCAACTTCCAGGTATATAATCAATCACCCCTCATAGAACTGGGGTGGCAACTCTTGATTGATCTGTCCATAGATCCTGTCCCCGTGCTTTAATAAAACCACCATTTTGCACCAAAGACATCTCAAGAATTCTTGGCCATCAGCTCCAGACTTCACCTATATTCCAAAACTTCATCAGCAGATATACAAGGCAAACTTTAAAATAACTGCCCCCCCCTTTTTTAAAGATTTTATTTATTTGGCAGGGACCACAAGCAGAGGGAGGGGCAGAGGGAGAGGGAGAAGCAGGTTCCCCAATGTCCATGCCAATGTTGGGGCTCCATGCCAGGACCCTGGTATTATGATAACCCACTGAGCCTCGCAGGTGCCCCTAAAATAACTGTCTGACAATTGTTCAGAGAATTTAAGGAAAATGTGGAAGAGACCAAGAAAATGATGTATGAACAGAATGGAAATGTCAATAAAAAGATAGAAAACCTAAAAAGAAACAAACAAAAAACACCCCACAATTTCTGGAGTTGAAAAGTACAATAACTAAGTGAAAAATGCCCTAGAGGTATTCAAAGGCAAATTTGAGCAGAAGGAAGAAAGAATCTGCAAACTTGAAGATGAGACAATAGAAATTATTGAGGTAGAGAACAGAATGAAGAAAGAGAGGAAAAGCAAACAGAGCCTAAAGGAGATACCAGACACCCTAAAACAGATCAACCTACACATAGTGGGGGTCCTGGAAGATGAGAGAGAGAAAGCAGCAGAGAATATTTGAAGAAATAATAACTGAAAACTTACAAACCAAAAACTGATGGAAATGAAGGGGGAAATAGTTCTACAATAATGGTTGAAGATTTAAATATCCTATGCATAATAATGGATAGAACAAACAGAAGATAAATAAGGAACTAGAGGACTTAATGCAACAGACCACCAAGGTCCTACAAACATAATAGCACTCTCTACGCAACAATAGCATACACATTCTTACCAAGGGCACATGGGACATTTTCTAGGATGACCATAGGTTAGAACAGAGATTAAGTCCCAGTAGATTTGAATAGATGTTATATAAAACATCTTCTGGGGCCCCAACGTGATGAAGTTAGAAATCATTAACAAAAGGAAAACTGGAAGACCCTCAAAATTGTGGAAATGAAACAACATACTTTTAAACAACCAATGGGTCAAAGGAAAAATCACCAGGGAAATTAGAAAATACTTAGAGACAAATGAAGATGAAAACACAATATGACAAAACTTACGGGACACAGTGAAAGCAAGCGCTAGGGAGAAATTTACAGCCATAAATGGGTACAGTTAAAAAAAATGAGCAATTTCAAATCAACAACCCAACTTTACAATTACAGAACTAGAAGACGAAACTAAGCTTAAAGCTAGCAGAAGGAGGGAAATACTAAAGTTGGAGCACTGATAAATGAAACAGAGAATAGGAAAACAGTACGGAAAATCAATAAAACCAAAGGCTGGTTCTTTGAAAAGATCAACAAAATTGATAAACCTTTAGCTAGAGGGACTAAAAGAGAGAGAGAAGACTTGAATTACTAAATCAGAAATGAAAGCGGGGATGTTACTACCCATGTTACAGAAGTTAAAAAAGGGTTAAAGAGAGTACTATGGACAAACCCTAAGACAGTCTGAACTATAGGAAACTGAGGGTCGCTGGAGGAGAGGAGGGTGGAAGGATGGGTGTTCAGGAGGGCACATGATGTGATGAGCACTGGGTGTTACAGGCAACTGAAGAATCATCACTGAACTCTACCTCTGAACCTAGTAATATACTATATATTAATTAATTCAATTTAAATTTTAAAAAGTAAAAAAAAATGGTATATAAAAAAATAGTAATATGAACAATCATATGGCCCCAAAATTGGATTACCTAAATGAAATGGGAAATTCTTAGAAATACAGAACAAAAACCTTTTTTTTTTTTTTAACACTTGTTAAAATGGTAAGACTTCATTCAAGTCTGTTGCAATAGGGGAGAGTAATCAGGCTCCACACCCAGGGCGCCAATAACAGCTGGGGATTTGCAACCAACCAGCAAAGTGCAGCGGATGGTAGGCAGGAGGGGCAGTAGATGGGAAGTGGCCAAGAGGACACATCAAGGTGGGGGCATTCATGTTCAGCGAATTCAGGATTTTTTTTAAAAACTATGTTATTTATTTATTCATGAGAGACACACAGAGAGAGACAGAGACATAAGCAGAGAGAGAAGCAGGCTCTCTACAGGGAGCCTGATGTGGGATTCTATCCCAGGACCCCAGGATCTCGACCTGAGCTGAAGGCAGCCACTCAACCACTGAGCCACCCGGGCGTCCCCCAAATTCAGGATTCTTGATGAAGGCAAGCCAATATGTTCAGATACCAAGGGTGGGGGAGAAGGAACATGATCAGATATGGAGAGTAAGCAGAAAAAGGGTGAGGGTATTGTCACTAATCTAACTTCACAAGATTCTTGCTGAGATGAGTCAGGCAAACCCAAGAAAGGCCTGGAGCCCAAGCCGAGGCCCAGTCGAGAAGAACACTCAGAAGAAAGCCTAAGGTTTGGGCAAGTGCAGTCTTTGTCAGCATTAAAAAATAACACAGGCAAAACCTGAAGGACTATGGTCCTTCGGGGAAACTCGTGAGATTGACTCCTACTGTGTCCCTGAGGACAATCTCTGATTCATTGCTTGTTCTCAATCAGAAACAACCCTGGGGGATGGAGTAGGAAGCTGCCAGAAGTAGTTGGGCAAAGT